AACGAAATAATGCAAGCCTTAAACTAGTTTATCTAAACTACTGGTCTATAAGCATCCATAAATCGCTCATCATAGCATCACACTTGTGTTATCGTGCCACTACCTGTAATACAAGAAACTGAGTAGGTCAGGCTAGGGGACCTAGTGAGCACATAGGTTTTCAACCCACAATAACTGTATTCTTTTAGTTATAAATTTCATCAAAACATTCAACCCGATTACACATTTCCGTTATCCTCACTTTCTATCACTAAGCATCTCATTCAGGGGACCTATCCTAAGGAATCATCTTCGGGATAAACAATAATGCTTAGGGAATTCCTTAGCAATATATATCAATAAGGCAACCATGGGGGAATGGAGTACACCCGGTGAACACTTAGTTCAAAAACACCTACAGGTTGCGAGCCTGCTAGCGTTCCACTACGCTGTCTAGAATAGTTTGTGGTCGTCATCTATACTCTGATAGAAGACTAGTTCATCTTTAAATTCAAGGCCTCTCATCATATATATCATCTTTCATCTCTCATCCTCTATATCATATTACATCTATTCATCTTTACCTAATATATTTATAGGTATAAAAATACGTATATAGTTTAAATCAAGTAAAACATGTATAAAAATTATTCATTTAGCATTGATATCAGGAGCACAGATAATATGCACATATAGCATGTAATTATCTTAAATACTTTATATCTATGTGTAAGATGAAAGTAACTATGCACTCACTTTCTAAAGTGACGACTCGAAACTCGAACAGTGCTTCACTTTAGCACTTGGCTTTTTTCCTTTGACGTGACATAGGTTCAATTAACACTAAGTCTTAGGCTAATATTCCTTATTAATAAAGATATCCTAGATCCATCATTAATTCCAAATTCTACTGATCTATAGCTGATAAGGGATAACCAGACAGGATCATATCGAAGGTAGGGCCCGTTTGGTATACATAGTATACTGTTTGTAAATCTCATTTTAAACACCTCACTAAATCCAGCCTAGACATAATCCTTGTAAGTAGATCAATCAATAATTCGAAATTGGAACTACTGAAGAATCTTATTTATAAATTCATAACAACGATTATGAATTTTAAACATAAGTTACACTAGAATAAAATAGAGTGTAATTTAACTTACATAGATTCCTTGGACAAAAGTCTGGAAATTACACTGGCGGAACTTTGGGCTGACAGCTACTAGATACTGGGCTCTTAGGGACTTCTGACTTGCCAAAATATCCTAACTACTAAGGAAAATTTCGGACCAAATCGATAGTAATCAAGAGACAGAGAGAGAGAGAGAGAGAATTTTATGGGAAATGAATGAGCTTATGGCTTCTATTTATAGGCTGGGATATGGGCATGTGTGTCGTGCAAAGGCCTTGTGTGTCGCGTACAGGGTCGATGTGCTTGCCCGGGTGTGTTGCCACGTGTCGAAATCTGGCTGGTGCTACGTGACGCCTTCTATAAGGGTGAACGCAGGGGGATGACGCGTGCAAAGAAATTCAAACTTCAAAATTTCATAACTAAGGCTAAAAAGTAACCTAATAGAAATTTACTTTTTACGATGTGTGTTGCCGAATCGGGTCGAATCGTGAAACTTTGACAGACCATAACTTCTTCGTTATAAGTCTGGTTTGAGCGTTCCTTATATCTTAGGAATACTTATCATGACTACTTCAACTTTCGTCAGGGGTATTTGGCCTAATTATTATTCTATTTTAGACGCGTATTTTATTCTTATTTTATTGAATTGTCGTAAGCACGTATACTACAAATAATCACATAATACTCAAATAATTTCCCTTTATTATATCAAATAAGTTACAATTGTTGACCCTAACTATTACATCATCTTATTAATGCCAAGCGAGAAACGCGGGCATTACAGCTTCTCCCAAGAAACCATCACTCAAACCTGAGTAAGACAATATAGAGTTCACCATTTCCTTTAGAAATCTATTTTTCCTTTCAGAAATCCCATTTTGTTGAGGCGTATATGGAGCAGTTATTTCATGTATAATTTCAACAGATTGGAATTAACTAGGATCATAATACTCTCCACCTCGATTTGTGTGAAATCTTTTGATTAAATCATTTTGTTGCATTCAACTTCATTTTTATAAATTTTGAATTCATCAAGAGCTTTGTCCTTTTGGAATGTAAAAAATATACATCGAACAAATGAGAATAATAATCTATAAAAGTAACTATGTATTTCTTATTTCCTAAGGATGGAGTTGAATGCAAATCATATAGTTCACTATAAATTAATTCAAGTATAACAAAATGCCTTTTAACATTAGGAAAAGGTTGCCTAGTTATCTTAGTTAACATGCAAGTTTTATATTTTTCTATGTTAACATCAAAATGGTATTAATCCAATTTTGGACATTTTAAGCATTCTGTTATAATATACATGTCCTAAACAAGCATGCCATAAAGAAGAAGAATCAATACTAGAACAAGTCATGTATATAGAATCTGCAACTTTATTGTTTACATTCAACATAAACATTCCATTACAATAATAACCAAACCCAACAAATGTACCACATTTAGTTAATACAAACTTATAAGATTCATAGACTTGTTTGTATCCACATCTATTAATTACACCACCATAAACCAAGTTCTTTCTAATCTTAGGAACATGAATAACATTCTTAAGAAAAAGACTTTTTTCAAAACTAAAACATAAAGACACATAACCACGACCCACAATAGGTGCTTTATTATGGTCCCCTATGTACAGCACCGATCCATCATTAACTACTTCATAATCCTTGAACCAAGAGCGATCTTTACACACATGACTCGTCGCCCCCGAGTCTATCCACCATGCATGATCATCATCATGAACATAGAATGATTCAGGAATAAGTGTTACATGATAGATAACAACAATAGTAGTAATTTCGGAAATAAAATTCTGACCTTCTGGTTTTGGACCTTGATCATTAGATCATTGTCCAGAAGTGCTTGCACCATTTTTGTTCTTCTTCAAACGACAATCTCGTTTCATGTGACCAGGTTTGTTGCAATACCAACACACAAGTTTTGCTTTCTTGTTTGAACCTTTGTGACGATCATCTTTCTTCTTCCTTTTTTCTTTGTTATTTTTCTGATGTTTGTCATTTTCCACCATATTCACTAAAGATCCAGGAACTTTCTTTTCTTTTCCCTTTCCACTTTCTTGAACCTAAAGACCCTCTTCAATTCTAAAGTGACTGCCAAGTTGTACCAAAGACAACTCTTCCTTTTGGTGTTTCAAAGTGTGCTTAAAGTCTTTCCATTATGGGGGCAATTTGTCATTGGCACTATAAACAAAAATGGATTAATCCATTTGCATCTTGTGTTGTTCAAATTGTCCCAGAATCCTTATGAGTTTGTTGTATTGTTCCATTACATGCCTTGAATTCACCATTTTGTAATTGTTGAAATTACTAACAAGGAACTTCTTACTTGAAGCATCCCCAGCCATGTATTTGGATTCAAGTGCATCCCACAGATCCTTTGAAGATTCATGATTTTGATAGATGTCAAAGAGAGAGTCGGTCATACTATTCAGAATGTGCCCACAACAGATGTAATCATCATTTTCCCATTTGTAGTGTTTTTTGGTGTGTTCCAGCGTTTCATTCTCTTGGGCTTCTGGTGTAGGAGTACTCAAAACATGTACAACCTTCAAAGTGGTAAGAAGAAAGTGCATCTTTTTCTGCCAACGACAAAATTCGTTTCATTCAAACTTATCAAGTTTTCCAAACTTGGAACTTATATCCCTGACAAATTCTGCCATTATTATTCCTTTACGGAAATTACAGATTTCAAATATTAAATTTTAAGGAATCAGAAATAACAATAAATACAAACTTGGATAGATTCAATGATCGTGTTATCAAACACTTTCCGAAATATATAATCCGTCCTATTTGTCCGGGGTACATGAATTCAGAAGTAGGATAATCCAAGAATGAACCAATCTGAATTACATGCCTAATTCGGATTGTTAAACATATAGTATCTTGCTTGATGTGTTCTTGAGAGATAGAGAAATCCTTAATGAACATATTTCGAGTATATGTTTGTAACCCTTTTCTAGAACAAAAACATGTTTTTATACAAGAGGGAAAGATAGTTATTGGTGGTTGCATGCAGATTTGGCGCCAAAACAGGTAGGTATTAGACATAACCAACACCTACATCATCATGATATCATCAAGTGAGTTTTGGCGGAAATATGCTTGGCTGGAGTCATGCCTGATATAAAAATCATGTTTATGTTTCGGGGAGCTACCCCGAGCCAGAGGCTCTGCCCATTGGACCTTGCTAGGGGCGCTGCCCCTAGACCCCACCATGGGACTCTGTCCCCAGACCCCCATATCTCGAGCTCATATTAATCGCTCCGAGTGTGCACCCCGTACCTCCAACCTCAATGAGTGAAATTTGAACTCAGTCTATCTCAATATTAATAACAACTACACTAAAACATGTTGATACCATTAAAATCACCAACATCGCTCACTCAAAATTAATTCACAATTAATTTAATAAAATGGAAATTTAGTAGATGCACTATTCAAAAAATAAAAGTTTGGAGTTTTTCATAAATTACTAAAACATGTTGATAATATTAAAATCACCAACACTGCACACTCAAAATTAATTCACAATTAATTTAATAAAATGGTAATTTAGTAGATGCACTATTCAAAAAATAAAAGTTTGGAGTTTTTCATAAATTATGACAAATAAATATGACTATTCTAACAATAACAAATCCACTTGTAGGGGATAGGGGCAAGAATTTGGGGATTGTAAGTCATGTTGCTATCTCTGTTCATCCCAACAGTTGAAGCATATAAGAAGGAAAAAAAAAAAGCTCTTTTGGAGTGTTAATCCATTTCCATTTCGCCAATTCGTCACCAACGAAATATTAATGCTAACCATTTGTTAGAGCCTCACAAATATGTAAATCAAGACTTGGAACAATCAACCAACATGCATTCAAACATTAAATGGCTTGAGGCACTCTTACCATGAGGCCTACACCAAAAGGTCCATAAACAATGCAACCACGCAAAACACTCGATAATCTCTACCTAATTTATCCTCAAAAGTTCTCTACAAGAATACAACCTCATTTTCATAAACCAAAATACTAATGCCATTTCCAACATAAAAACCACATTACTCCTAAAAGACTTGTTACAACTAGCAATAAAGTTATCTATATAGAAGTTAAATATTCTACCACGAACAAAATCACCAAATTTGCAAGCAACAACATAAGACTACAAACATTACATTGCATATGTTGCATATGGTGAAACTGGTTTATTGTTCTTCAGCAGCAAGTGTCTTCTTCAATTCCTTTTTGTTCACCTAAAAAAATTACACACAATGATTCAAGTTTTAAGATTTAAATCTTATTATAAATGCAAAAGCAGATAGAGCAAAAAATATGGTCTTAGCATTTTACCTTCCCCATGGCATTACGAGGCAGTGATTCCCATAAGAATAATCGGGTTGGTAGCTGGAGATAGATGGGAACACAATATCAGTAAACAGTAATTTTTTTATAGTTGGGTTAATAATTTATTATTGCAATGAAGTTACATTTTTTTTAACCAATTTAAGCAATCAGGTTTCACATTTTTTAGCAAGAAATAACAGAGTACTTCATTGATTTGTCTATTACAAAATAATAATTTAAAAACTTTACAAAATTAGAGAAATGTCAATTAAATTCATAACAATTTTCACTGCTATAACTTGGTAGATTTTTCAAAGTGTAATTTCCTACTAGGAAAAGAAATAGAAAGTACAGTGTTATGATTAACATCTAGAAAAAAATGTTTTTATATAGGTGTTTTGCATACAAAAATATTTTTAAAAAAAGGTTTTTATATAGAAAAAATAAGGTTTTTTATGTAAAAATATGTTTTTTTGTATAAATATGCTTTTATATAGCAAAAAGAAACATATTCGAAACAAAATTTTGAAAAAAAATATATGTAGAAAAACTAAATTTAGGATGAATTCGTAATAAAGTTCTGAAATCTGGGCCAAAAGTGTAAATTTTTGACCAAATTTGTAAAAACATTTAAAATCTAGCGGAAAAAGTGGAATTTTTAAAAGTGGGATGACCTGTTGACCGGGTAAAAGGATCAAAAGGAATACAATTACCGGTTTTGGGGATGATTGAATAAAAAAACATATAAGGACTAAATCGATTATAAGGCTAAAATATAAGGACTTTTATGGAGTTTTCCCTTATATATATATATATATATATATATATATATATATATATATATATATATATATATATATATATATGTCCATCCACATTATAACTTAGCCCTATATATATATATATATATATATATATATATATATATATATATATATATATATATATTCAAATTGTGAAAACCGATCCAACTGAATTGTAATCCAGTTGGTTAAGATCGGATTTTGATTTAGTTGAGAATTTTCAGATCCATATTTTGAAAACCAAAGTTAATTTGGATTCACTTGATCACATCAAATCAGGTCGATCCATCAAATGAACACCCTTAGTCTTAATAAGAAAAAAAGAAATTGTAATAGAAAAAAATGAAAATATTATGCTATAATATACAAATAAATGAAAGTACATTGCTATTTCTTGCATTTAGCCATTATTTGTATATTATAGCATAATATTTTCATTTTATATATATATATATATATATATATATATATATATATATATAATGAAAATATTATGCTATAATATACAAATAATGGCTTATAATATATATATATATATATATATATATATATATATATATATATATATAAGCCATGATAATTGGAGGTATACCTTGTATGGAGCAAGCTTCTGTTTAGCCCATGAAGAGAGTTCATCCAAAGATATTACAGGCTTTAAGTCTTTTTCACGGGCTTTCTTTATCTCCATATCTGGCACAATTATTGCAGTTACTGCTTCTCCATAAGTATTATCTGGTAACCCCAACACGCAACATTCTGAAATAGCTGGATGCTGTACAATCAAGTCAAATTAAATGAGGGCAAATTCGTAAATTTACATGATTTCCTGTATTAAGTTGTTTTTTTCTACACTAAGTCAAAAGAAAACATCCACATATATAGCTTGCTAGATTAAAGGGTTGTTTCTTTTTTACTTAATAGGTTAAGCACTTAATCTGGAAAGTTATACATTGTTGTTTCTTCTTAAGCTGAATCTGAACTGAATGGCTTAATGGGTTGAGCTAAAAAACCTAGCTTAATGTATTAAGACACTAACTCTTTACCTATTTTCCCTTCTTTTTTATTCTCAACTCCTCTCATGTTAAGATTGATGAATATTATGAAACTAGATATTACTCCCACGTAATCTGTAAACTTTCTATTAGGCAGGGACCATTTTTGTAATTTTTTAAACACATGGACTGTTTCTGTAAAAAAAAACTGCATAGGGACCTTTTTTCTGTAAATTACATGGACATTTTTTGTAATTTATTTTCTACATAGAGACCAAACCTGGAAACATACAAAATTCTATGGCCAAAGTCTCAAGCCCAAAGAGTATACTGTAATTTTTTTGAACACAGGGACCATTTCTGTTAAAAAAACTGCACATGAAGTTTTTTTGTAAATTATAGGGATAGTTTTTTTAATTTATTTTCTACACAAGGACCAAAACTGCCGACATAGGAAAGTATTTAAACACATGGACTATTTCTGTTAAAAAAACTGCACACGGACCTTTTCTGTAAATTACAGGGACAGTTTTTGTAATTTATTTTCTACACATGGACCAAACCTGCCAACATAGGAAAGTCTTGTGTCCAAAGTCTGAAACCCAAAGACTATACTATTCCTAAGGTCAATTGCCTCTAATATATATATATATATATATATATATATATATAATAAATTTTTTTCTAATATAAGGGTAAAATGGTCATTTAGTCTCGTTTAGAAGGTTTATTAGTCCATTAAGTAAAAAAAAAAAAAAAAAAACAGCACTTGGAGAAAACTTACTTCTAAAAGAATTGCCTCGATTTCTAATGCTGACAACTTGTATCCACCAACCTTCATTATATCAGCATTAGTACCTAATTTGAGGATATAAAAAGTGCCAAAAACTCAAAATACACGCTGATAACAAATGGAAATGAAAATGGAAAATATTTAAAAAAAAAAAAAAAAAAAAAAAAGCTTACGTCCCAAAATGACATAATATCCATCTTCATCAACTCTAACAGCATCACCAGTTTTAAAAAAGCCACTTTCTATAAACGATTCCTTAGTTACTTCCGGACGTTTCCAGTATTCCTTAAACAAAGAAGGGCTTTTCACACAAAGCTCACCAACCCCATCATTAACATTATCTTCTGTAAGAATCTTGACCTATTAATTACAACAATTATAATCCCGTATTATGAATTGTATTTTTTTAATTTAATTTAATTTGTATAACGAATAACATATAGTTCTAGATTTTTGTTAATTTTGCTAACCTCGACTCCTGGAAAGGGTTTGCCTACAGTGCCTCCTTTTCGTATTCCTTTTAACGGATTTGAAAGTGCCATCACAAACTAAAAGGGCAACAACGCAGAATTATTAGAAAAAAGAATGGATAATTATAGAAATTACCCTTAACAAATTTACTACCTTTTTTACCAATAAAATAAAATGACCATCAATTTTGCAATTGGCCAGTTGCGAAATTCCAAAGAAATGCAAAATTACTTTTTACTAACAAAAAGCTGAAAAAAAAAAGGTAACAAAATTGTAAAAAAAATTGTGAGACTGTTCATATTTTGCAATTCGTTTAACAATTTTGCAATTGGAGTGAGCAAAAAGATGTAAAAAAGGCTTATAAAAACTTTTATTTTGTGAAATTCCGAAAATTTGTGAAATTGGTGGGGGCGATTTATAAAGCGATATATCTCAATTTGTAGCATCACTTTTGCTATTCGTAATAAAAAGTGGTCAATTGGTTAAATGCCACATCATACGATGGCTATTTTTGTAATTATCCAAAAACAGAATCTATTTTTGAGGTGACTTGTAATAAATAAATAAATAAATAAATAAATAAATAAATAAATAATAATACCTCTGTCATGCCATATCTTTCTAATAATCGATGTCCTGTGATGGTCTCCCACCTTTGCATTACGGGTAGGGGTAGAGCTGAGGAGCCACACATCTGGAAATTAAAAATGTTAATTAATTTATAGTTTTTAATATCAAAATCTAATTAATTAAAAAAAAGGTTATATTATTATATCTTTATGTTTTTGAAAAAATATAATCACCATTAGACGCAGTTGGCTTCCAGCTGTTGCAGAAGCAGCTTGTAAGTCTGGATCCATTGCATCATAGCCTTGTATCAGCCTAGTATACATGGTTGGAACCTAAAATAAAAATATATAAAGAAAAAAAAATCAGATATTATAAGGACAAGAACATAAATGGTAAATAATTTTAGCCATTTGATACGAAAGTTAAACAGCATTTTTTTTTTTTTTTGGTTTTCTTTATTATAACTTGCATACCCGGAATATACTTTGTATATGCAACATAGTTGAGAAAGATAAAAGAGGAAGAAAATAAAAAAAACATTTTTTCCACATTATTTTAAATATTAAAAAAAGAAATAGCATACCCCTGTAAATACAGTAATTGCATCATCAAGCTTAGTCCCATCTTTTGGGTAAGATTCACGCCATCTTTTCCAAATACCACTCACACTAAATTTTGGCATAAATTCAACCTAAAACAACACAAATATATATATATATATATATATATATATATATATATATATATATATATATATATATATATATATATATATATATATATAAACGTACAACTCGTGATGATAAAGAATTTATTTTACTTAATTGCAAATAACATAAAAGTGTTTGATTACCATGGACCCCACATAAAGAGGAGCAAATAGTGCATTGAAGAGCCCATGAACATGTACAGATTAAATTAAGAATCAACAAAAAAATGTGAAACATTTTTGGAAGAAAAAAGGAATTGAAAATCATAATTTTAATGTTTATTTAAGGATATGGTGTAATGGAAGACAATGTAGAAATCGATCACTTGATGTGTATTCCCAAGCTGTTGATAATGTTTTCACCTGAAATTATGCATCAATTAGAAGATCATAAATATGTTTTTTTTTTTTTTCAAAAATATACGAATCTTTCACAAGTTTGGTTTTTTAAATATATTTTTTTTAAAACATTAAATTACCTGTGCTAAAATGCTACTGTGTGTATGAACAACTCCTTTAGGTTTCCCAGTTGTTCCACTAGTATACAAAATCAATGCTGGATCATCATCTGTATGAATAAAATAATTTTATATTATTATTGTATATGAAATTATATATATTAAAGAAGATGGATATATACCTTTTATGTTATTTGCAAATACAATCTCTTTTTGATGTACAACACCATTATCTACTGCTTGTGAAGTCATAGTAGGAACATTTGGTATTAGAGAAAATTGAGCAGCAGTTTTAGCTGCAACTTTTTGCATAAGCTCACTGTGATCTTCAGTACTCAAAATCATGGACACATCCTTCAAAAGTCAAATAAACAATATTGTATTATTGAATTTCATTTCTTCCTATTAAAGCAATTTTAGCAATATCATTCAAATACAAAGCAATTTCTTGCAAATAAAAGATAGGAAAGTAGAAAAGTTTAAGGTTGTTTTGAGAGTAAACCGAGTCAGTCATGACATGTAACAACTCAGCTTCAGGGTAGCTGAGTGCAAGTGGAACAGCTACACCTCCATTTAACCATATTGCAAGTACTCCAGCAACAAACTCAGCACAAGGTTTAGCCACAACACCTATTCTAGCACCATTTAGACTCTTATTATTATTATCCTGCAAAAGTGATTTCAAGATAAAAGTTTTTGGTCATTTTCATGTAACATGAGATATTAATTATATACTGCAAATTGTAATACTATTTTAGTATTTTATACTCACGAGTTTTTGGTCATGATTGGATAACAAAAGGGATATTTTTGAAGCAGAAGAAATTAAATGGTGGTAAGCATAACTCTTGTCATCGGCTTTCAGAGCAATACTTCCATGATTAGCAATCTCTTTCACAACCTCCATGGATGTTCTACAACCTGAAGCTATATGTAATTTCACAAAGATTAATAAAAAAATGTCATCATCGTGATCATTTTACATTATACTCAAAGAAAGGGCGTTAATCTGTACTATATTTGCCAATGCAATGATTGAAAACCACTTCCTTTATTTGGTCATGTTAGACATGTCAATTTTGAATTCTACTACTCTAAATTGTAGTTTTTCCAAGAGGGGATGATTGTAAGCTCGGATTGTATCTATAAGACTCCATTAATGAGATCATTCAAACAAGCACGGCAAAAACGATCATTCACATAATCGCATATCAATTAGTTGTCAAAAATTGAACAATTAGGATGATCCCTAATGACATTCAATTCAGTAGCCGTAACTATCGGAATGCATGTACATAGAGATGCATAATTGAATTCCATAGAACCAAGCATTTTGACGAACAGTTGGAGTACAATTACAAACGTAACATTTACCGATTCCAAAAAAGCCTAAAACTTGAAGTGATTACACGTACAAGAATCAGAGAATTATGTAAGAAACGGAAAGGGGGGAAAAGGGATGACAATACAAGCTATCATTGAAAAATCAAGTTGGAAAAGTGTCGATCAACTTACCAGAAAATCGACGAGACTGATGGAAGCTAGAAATGAAAGGAGGATTGTAGTTGGTAAGGAAGTAGTTGAAGAAGAAGACTTTCTTGTTGAAGTTATTATGAAGACTGGTAATAAATGGAGAGCATCTGTTCATCGCTATTTTCGGTGAAGTGAACTATATATATTTATGGCGTACACCCAACTGGCAAAAAGTCGTGAAAATCAATAAATAATTATTGAATTACCAAAGATGTTTGTCCACGTTTCTTTCATTCATCGACATCACAGGGAAGAGACAAAAGTTTCGTGTTGAAGGGAAGATTAGATAAAATAGATTACGTAGGAGCATACGCTAATTTCGAGCGCGAAGGGCATCTGATCACTCATCTTAGCCTTTTGCCTCGCCCTTCACTTTAATTTAGTGAACACATCTGTATGGATTTTGAACTTCTAACATCATAGGGTTTTAGCAAGATTAGCAAAGATGGAGGGAATTAGTTCGAGGTAGGGTCAAATGAAGGAGCGTTACGCAATGAAAATTGAAAACCTCAACTCACCTTTTTTTTTTTTTTTTTTGGTTTTGAATTATAAACTAGTAAGGGACTATAAGTAAAAGCCAAATTTATGTTTGCAGAAAAAATTTTAATGTTACACCTATTAGAAATTCAAAAACACCTAAAAATATTTTTTCGTAGGATTAGCCTCAAGTCATTAGTTCAAGTTGGATTTTATGGTCTTGCATGTCCAAAACAAGCCCTTTCTATATTAGGTCAAAGCTAGAGTTTAATGACCAAGTCTCCATGCAAGTCATCAAAACTCGATGATAATTGAGTTCCAATACATTAAATGCTCTATAAGACTCGAAGATTCATAAAGTTGCAAACTTTATGAGATCCCATTACTAAAATCCATCAAAACATGGGAAAAAGGACAAAATCCAAAGATATAGCAACATGGTAAGAAAAAGGTTTAATCTTGGACACTCACCAAGGTCCAGGAGATATGTTAGCTGAAGAAATGCTTGCCAAGCAACCAACTCGCCAAGAGCTTCGTTCTTCTTTAAAAGTCACCAAGAAGCACTAAGAATGAGTTCACAACTTCAATGAATGCTAGGTTAGGGTTTCTGAGGTTGGGAGGAAGATGGATGTTGAAACCCTAGCCTTAATGTTCTTATATAGGATCCAAAGTCTGGAATTAGGGTTTTCACTAAAACACCTGCCAAACAACTTCTCTTCCTCTTAAGCATGAGTGAAAAGTGTTTGTGTTTTCATCACCATCTATCGCTCACTTGATTTTTTTACGAAAGTCCATTATATCTATTTTATCACAACTAGCTATAATTTTAAGGATGTTAATCTCTTTGAAACTAATTTCGGTCACCGCCCCCATCAGTAAGAGACACATCAATACCCTTTATATCTTTTATGAAATATTTTTTCATTCCTTATGAATAACCACTTCCTTATGCCAATTCTTCAATCTCTCTTTCACACATTTAAGTTTAATTTTAAAACGTAATGAACATAGTATCACCTTCAAGTTCATCCCAAATAGAAACCACAATATTGTCAAAACCCTCCAAATAAACCACAAGTCGAAAATGTGAAAAGGAATTGGGCCATAGTCAAAAGTTATTCACTTATTCTTTTTAGAAAACTATTGGACTATAGTCGACCAAACCCTTGTGAGAATCATCACTTCCATACTTGTATTGTAACACTCCGACTCCCAGGTATAAACTTTACAGTTTTATTTTCATTTTGGAAGGTCTACTCGACGAGTTGGATGCCCCGACTCGTCGAGTAGGAATGGGTTTGCCCGTGTGGATTATTGGATCTACTCGACGAGTCGGAGGACCGGACTCGACGAGTAGGAGCTGGGAGATGAAACCCTAAATTTTAGGGTTTGCACCCTATTTAAAGGACCTTAAGTATTTACCTCCGGTCCCTTACCACCTCTTGACGGCCAGATGAAACCCTAATCGCCATTGACCTTGTTCTTGAGTGTTTATGAGGCTTAAAGAATGATTTTTGTGCATTTTGTGAAGAAGGTGTGAAGTATAAGAAGCTTGGAGCAAAGAGAAGCTTGTGGATCTGACTCTACTTCATCTTGGTATCATTTTGAAGGTAACAAGTCGTTACCTTGGCTTATCTTTAATTAGATATCTTCATGCTTAAGCTTAGTGCCATCTTTAAGATATTTGGGAGTCATTTCGGGTATTGGTGCAAGATCTGAAGTTGTAACTTCAGATCTGGACTCCCCTTGGTCCTTAAAGCCATAAAGTTATGAGATTTGGCAAGCTTGGGCCCTTCCCTTTAAATTAACCTTTCCCTTAGTCTAGTTTTGGCATTTAGGACCATGCATGTACGTAAAGTTTGCAACTTTACGTGCAAACCATGTCCTAGGAGGTTGGATCTGAAATATGGAGCTTTGGGGTGGCTTAAAAACATTTGTACAAGAAATGGACTGCATGAACTCGACGAGTCGCTTAGCCGACTCGGCGAGTCGGATGAAGGTTACCCGTGCCTGATTCTGCATGAATTCGGCGAGTCAGTAAGAAGACTCGACGAGTCAATTAGGGTTTTCCCCGACATCTGGACACGTATGGACTAGACGAGTTGGTTGGAAACTCGGCGAGTCAGTTAGGGTTTTATGACTTCCTGAGTTCTTGAGGAACTCGACGAGTTGCTAGTTGCACTCGACGAGTCGGGTCAACATGGACTGTTGACTTTGACCGTTGACTTTGACTTCGACCAAAGGTTGACTAGTTTGACTTCTGGGGGTATTTTGGTAATTTGGGAATTTATGGAAGTGGACCATTGGTGGATGTAGGTGTTGGACTTGGAGTTGCAATTGGTGGAGTTTGACTTTGTCACTTCGAACTACTCGTGATGTGAGTTGTCCTCACTATATTGTGATATCCCCATTTTCACGGCCAGAAAAGACCGATTTTGTTTATGCTTTATAAAAATCATAGTTCCTCTTTTAATAAAAGTGTTGCGGAATTTGTTCCCAGAAAAACATGATAAATACGTTATCAAAGCATTTCCGAAGAAATGTATTTTATTCATTTTAAAACATTTAGGATGTCATCGTCAATACAGAAACATAAGCATAAACAGAACTTACATTTATTTACACTAGTAATCTACATCTCTTTAATCTCTCAGTGTAATGTAACTTCATATCGACACCTGTAATACAAATAAACTTGAGTGAGTCAGGTTGGGAAACTTGGTGAGTACATAGGGGTTTTAATCCCACAATGTTATATCATATATATAATTTAGAACTCACAAAATATACAATTTCCCCATATTTATAATCAACTCTTACCCCACCCCGTCAATCCTCACAATGAGACTATCCATACTCTCGGACCTTAAATTTTACCTCTTACTCCCAGATCTAATCCATGTTCTCGGATCAATAATTGTGCCCATTCCATACTCTTGCATTAGGGACAAGTGTCTACGTCTAAATCCATACTCCCGGATTAATGACGGATAACTATGTCTTGTCCATACTCCCGGACTAAGGACAACTGACTATGTCTTAATCCATACTCCCGGATTAATGACATTTGACTATTTCCAATCTATACTCTCGGACTAGGGACAATGACTATGTCTAATCCATGCTCCCGGATCAATGACATATATTAAAGTTCTATTCTCTGAGTATAACTCACTCGTACTCGTAAGAAGATACTACCCAATATTCCTCATAATTAATTTAGGTTTACTCTTTATCCTAAATCATCATATATAATCAGGTATGTTCTTTAAAACGTATTTCAGGCAACATCAAATAACTCGCACAAAAACATATATCTAATACTTCAATCAATACTTGTATTAAAATTCATGTTCATGAAAGGGACTATGCACTCACTTGTTAAAGTGATGATTCCAAACTCAGGCAACGCTTCGCTTCTAACGATTCTATTTTCCTTCGACGAAACCTAGCATTATTATCGCTAAGTTTTAGTCTAATCTTTATTGCGATTAATTATTAGTCTAGATTCATCATTAAATCAAAGTCTACTTCATGATCTATCAAGTAAGGAACAACCAGGTAGGATCATATCGGAGGTAGGGTCCGTTTGGTATACGAAGTATACTGTTTGGAAATCCCACTTTAAACACCTCACTAAATCACAGCCTAGACATCATTCTCGTAAGTAGATCAAATCAGTATAACGACTTTAAATCACTGATAAATCTTATTTGTAGGTTCATAATAACGATATTATATTTAAATATAAGCTATATTTAAAGTATGGTAGGCGTATCTCACTTACAGCGGGTTTTGCTAAAAACCGAGCTCTACTGGAGCAGAACTTCTGAGCCGAAAAGCTCTTTTTCTCGAAGCCGTCGGGCGTTCCGGAGCTTTCTTCTAGCGCTAGGGGAGTTTCCTAGGGCTTTAGGGGGGTTGTGGGAGGTTTAGAGAGAAGTTAGAGAGAGAAAGAGAAGGGTGGAGGTGTGAAGAAATGAGGGTGGAAGGGGTTCTATTTATAGGGTGAAATATGGCTCAACTTGGTGCCACATGTCAGCATCTGGTGGCAAGACTTGGGGAGAAAGCAATGACACATATTCAACCACACCACCCCCTTCGCAGCAGCACCCATCCAACTTCTAAACCCCGTAACTTTCGCATACAAGCTCCGTTTTCGATGTTATTTGTATCCACGCGTAGGTTGAGACATAATCTACAACTTTCGTTTAGACTCCGTCGGCTAATTCTCGACTGCTTTTAAATTTAACAGTACAAGAAAATTATAATGTTAAATGATTGCGTAAAATTCATAACTTCTACATACGGACTCCGTTTTCGTCTGTCTTTTTATCGTTGAGCTCCTGTTAATGAGATATTCAATTCTCATTTAGGTTGCGTTGGCCAAAAACCGCTCGATCTAAAATTCGAATTCCGGGTTGTGCACTGCTATGCCAAATCTTAGAAAAATCCTAACTTCCTCATACAAAGTCAGATTTGGGTGTTCTTTTTATGCACGCTCTCAGTTTAACATATAATACGACTTTTGTTTATATCACTAAGGCTAAAAAGTCCTTTATCGTAAATTCACTATTTACGTCATGCAGTGTCGTGCCGGTTTTGCCGCAAAACTTCGACGGGCCATAACTTCTTCGTTATAACTCGGATTTCGGCGTTCTTTATATGTACGGAAACCTTGTGACATATTCTACAACTTGGTTAAGATTATTTATTCTAAATAATCTTTTTTTTGAAAAGTCGTTTTCGACACTTATTGTCTCTAAAATGACTAACCTGAATCCGCGGGTGTTACATATATCAACAGGGTCTGAGGCACCAATGTCGACCCTTTTTGAATTTGTATTCGGGTTTATTGCATTATATGCTTTATGATTTGTATCCTGGTTATAGGATGGTTGCCATGTTAGTGATCTGTTAGATCGGTATCCTGGGTATAGGATGGTTGTTATGCTAGTGATCGGTTAGATCAGTATCCTGGTTATAGGATGGTTGTTATGTTAGTGATCGGTTAGATCGGTATCCTGGCTATAAGATGGTTGCCATGATTAGTGATGTGTTAGATCTGTATGACTGTTATATATGCTTGTGTATGATATGTATGTGCACATGTTTGTTGGTTTGGGGGATTAGGTTGAGGCAGGTCCTGCTTTGTGCTGTAGGCCAAGATACCCATGGCGGACCGGATAGACTGCTGACCCGGTTAGGGCATACTAGTCAGACCGAAGGCCCGATGAGCGGTCCGGATAGGCTGAAGGCCCTGAGAGGCGGTCCAAACGTACTGATGGCTCGGAGAGTGGTCCAGATAGACTTTAGGCCCGATACGGGCGGTCCAGTTAGGCTGATGGCTCATTATGCATGTTGTATTTGTTTATATGATATGGTTATATCTGTATGGTGTTGGTATTTTGAGGGAACTCACTAAGCTTCGGGCTTACATTTGTTGATTATGTTTCGAGGTACTTCTAATGATCGTGGGAAGGCGAAGGCGTGATCGTGCGCCTCCTTATATTTTCATGATTTGATTCTTGGGATACTCTGATGTTTAAACTATTTTGAAAACAAATTGTAATAACTTAATGATTTTTAAATGTTTTAAAAGGTTCAAATTTGGCATGATTTTTATGGATGTTACATGTATACTTATCCACCATACCATTTGCGACCAAAAAATGATCTAATTTGGTCATTTTAATGTAATGTATATTCACTTGGGTAAAACGCGTTCCGTACATAGGAACATAAGAAATCTCCCTATTCTAATAAATGAATAAGTTTATTTTTCTATTGACAAGTGCCATACTATTATAACTCCTCATTAATATTATATGTCAATTATTATGCCACTTGTCAACCTATTAATTATCAATTTCAAATTTTAAATTTCTCATTCTAATTACATTAAATTAATAATTGATTCTCCATTTTAAATTTTTTTTCACTCTAATTATATTAAATTAATAACATTAGATTAAAAAAATAAGGGAAAATTTAGTGTATGCCCTTATTAAGCTGTAAAATATCATATTTACCCGACATTAAATCTAAATATCATATATACTCTTCTTAACATTTAAAATATCATATTTGCCCAAATTTATTTTTTAACCATTTTTAAAATGTTTTTAATCATTTTTTATATTTTATAAGCATTTTAATTTAAAAACATAATGTCAATTGACTAATTTGCCCTTCAATACTTAAAACCCTTTTGCCTTAACTTGGATCGACCATAATTGACCCAACTATCCTAACCCTTTTGTTGATCACGTACCTAGAAGTATACAAAATTCATTGCGCTAACTAACTGCATACATACGGCGCACACTTCAAAGAAGTATTCTCTTCATTCAATGTCATCTTCAGCAGCGGAGCAGCACCTGTTGACGAAGAATCAATTCCGAGAAGATGGCAACTGAAGTCGTATCAGGTAATACAATGTGGAGTATAGACTATGATTGCCGATTCTGATTTTTTATTACACAATTCTGATTCGTATCCTTTAAATCGCAATTTCTTATTATCAAAATTTTATTGCTTATTTTGCCTTTTGATTACTCACCTGGTAATTAAGTCGATCAATGTTTTTCATCTTTAATTACAACCTATACATACTCTTCCATGCAACTAACAATTTCTTGATTGACAACAAATTAATAGACGATTTGAATTGCAAAAAATCAATAGATGAAATCTTGAATGGCAAAAAATCAACGGACAAAAACATGGACGATTTCATTGAACAGGTAAAGTTATTTACTCTCAAGCTTCTTTCATGTAGTTTAACGAGTTAAAAGCTTAATTGTTATATAAACATGTAACAGTCACACATAGACACGGATGATGGCATCTCAAAATCGATATGGGAGAACATGGTAGAGTCTCCAATGATTGATTATGTTTCTACGAGTATACCAGCTTCCAAGTACAAGATAAAATTGAAATATGGGGGTATTTTTCGACTAGCAAAGAACACTAGTAAGAAAATATATTATTTTGGCTTTCAAAAATGCATCTACATAGAGACATGGTCATATAACTTTGCTCAACTAAATGATGAAGTCACAAAACGTTATTAATCAAAGAACAATCCAGATTTTTCAATTTGGTATGTTGACAAGTTTACATCAGACCGATTATATATCCAGCTAGATTCTGAGGAGAAGTTCATAGCTATGCTTACCATGTATAAAAATGAGAAAGAAGTAACCATTTATGTGACAACAGAAAATAACCTTGACTCAAATAACCTTAATGTTAGTAATCAGTTATGCGTTAACAGAGATGAAATACAGTATGAAGATGATTCAGACTATTATCCCAGTGTAGCAAGTTATTATAGCCGTCTTAGTTCTGATAAAGAATATGAGCCGATGACGGATGATGATGAGGTTGACTCGTTTAGCAAGAACAGTTAAAGCATGAAGGTGGGCTCAAAATATGAAAATGCGATTAGTTTTAAGAGAGCTTTGAACCATTATGCAATCACGAATGAGTTCGAGTATTTCATCTAGAAAAGTGACCCGACACGATTCACAGCAAGGTGTGAAAAAATAGATTGTGCGTGGAGAATTCATGCTTCTATCATGCAAGATGGAATTACATTTGAAGTAAGTATATAGCCTAACTTATATATAACATGTTTTCCATTAGAAATACATTTATGTTTATGTAATTTTTTTACAGGTTAAGAAAATGGTGGAAGGACATACATGTACTCAAAGTAACAAGGGTGGTAATAAGCGTGCTACTCAAGGATGGATTGCAAATATAGTTACTGAAAAATTGAAATCTGATGGGGATGTCTCTCCTATGGAGCTTAGAAAGTGGATTACGAAAACTTACAATGTTGAATTACCATATCTAAAAGTATTTAGAGGTAAAGAGCAAGCTTATACTGATATGTATGGTAAGTGGGAAGAATCATTCATGAAGTTGGATGAATTTAGAGAAGAACTATTAAATAGGAATGAAGGAAGCATTGTGGAAATTGACTTTGATATTGATGGAGACAAGAAACGATTCAAAAGGTTTTTTATTTGTCTAGCAGCTTGTTCTAAAGGGTTTCTTGCTGGTTGTCGTCCTTATATTGCTCTTGATGCTTGCCATTTAAAAGGAAAGTTCACTGGTGTACTAGCTGCTGCAACGGGTATTGACGGTAACAATTCCATCTTTCCAATAGCTTATTCTGTGCTTGAATCAAAGAGTACACAATCATGGACATGGTTTCTTGAATCACTTAAAAAGAAATCGGGATGCCAGATGGTCTTGTGATCTCATCAGACATGCAAAAAGGGTTAGAAGTAGTTGTTATGCACATTTATCCTAATGTTGAGCATAGAGAATGTGTACGACACTAATATAGCAATTTCAAGAAACAATTTCGTGGTGAATTCTTCAACAAGAAACTTTGGGGTGCTGCAAAAACCTATCGTCCTACCAAGCATGACAGATTATTGAAGGACGTTGCCGATGTAAGTCAAGATGGCATTACATATCTAAATAACAACCATAAAAAGATATGGAGTAGAAGCAAGTTTGGCACAACTTCCAAGTGTGATTACATCACTAATAATATTTCGGAATCGTTTAACTCTTGGATTGGTGCGACACATTATCAACCTGTTCTTGATCTTCTTGATGCAATTAGAGAAAAGCTTATGAAATGGTTTGACAAGAAGAGGATGTTAGTGAAAAGATGGAATGGCGTATTGGTTCCTAATGCTAAGATTCGTCTCAACGACATCTCTAAGGTAAGTATGTTAAATTATAGTTCAATTACATATTATTTTAAACTTAGATGATGCATATAGATCTCAATAATATATGTTTTTTTTATCTTTCATGTAGAACTTGGGTGAATATGAAGTATGTAGAAGCGGTGATAATCAAGCTGATGTGAAGTTCAAGGGAACGCGCTGGGAAGTCAACCTAGACAAAAGAAAATGTGGTTGTCGAGTGTGGCAAGTTACGGGCCTTCCATGTGTGCATGCAGCGGCTTTTATTGCTTTTACAAGGGATGCTAATTGGGACCAATATGTTGATCAATATTTTAGTATAGAGAAATTTAAAGAAGCATATGCTTTCAAAATTACTCCGATGCCCGAAAAAGATCAATGGATTAAAAAAGATGGGGATAAAATTTACCCACCTCTCATGAAAAGACCGCCTGGAAGACCCAAAAAAAAAATAGAATTAAACCCTCGGATGAGCCTAAAAGAAGGCACAAGTGTTCGCGATGTGGTGAGTATGGACACCGTGAAAAAACTTGCAAAAATCCCTCATCTCAAAGTATCGATCAAAGTGAAACATCCACGTCTACAAGGTTGCTCAAAATTACATTTATTTTGTCTTATTTTATAAATAGATATCAAAACACATACAATGCTAGTATTGTTTTTATTTATTTTAGGAAACGTAGAAAGAAAACCAAATCTGGCGGTAGCTTGGGAGTTTCAGGGTTCATGTGAAAAAAATTGATGACAATAGTTGGTCCTTTTGACAATTTTCTTATTTTTATTGATTACAAGTTGTAAGATGTTGCTAAATAGGTTTTTCTAAAAAGTATGTTGCTAGAAATAGTTTGTTTAGAAAGTATGATGGTAAAATGGTTTTTCTACAAAGTATGTTGCTACAAATATGTATGTTTACAAACTATGTTGCTAAAAAGATTTGTCTAGAAAGTATGTTGCTACAAATATGTATGTTTACGAACTATGTTGCTAAAAAGATTTGTCTAGAAAGTATGTTGCTGAAATTTAAAACAACAGGGACCAAAATGTAACTAAAGCAAAATTTAAAAAAACAGGGACTATACTGTAATTATTGCTAAACTAAAAACAACATGCACCAAAATGTAATTAATGAAAAATTTAAAACAACATGGACCAAACTGTAAGTATTGCAAAATTAAAATCGACAAGGAACAAACTGTAATTATTGCAAAACTAAAAACAACAGGACCAAATTGTAATTAATGCCAAATTTAAAACAACAGGGACCAAACATGTAAGTATTGTTATTAAATAGTACAGAGTTAAAACATGGGCTATTGTAATTAACAGCATCGTACTTACACATCATCTATTATAATATCAGAGATGTATTTCATACATTACATTACATGCTCCTAACAAGTTACATCAAACTACTAAAAAGGCTATATTAACATAAAGGGCATCCTCTATACGAATACATTCACTTGGTCGATTTGGAAAGAGGGACTAGATGCAAAAAGACTTCGTCTGCTTGTGCAAATCCTCTACAAAAACCTGTCCACTTTCTTATTAATCACCACATTTCTCATTTCTTTCTTATTAATCTGTCGTTAGATGATCTAAATCATGAATTATCTGCAAAACACAACAAAACAATAAGTTATTAGCTGAATAAAGTTTAATTTTATAAAATAATAATTTTTTTCTCTATCTACCAATTTAAATTCATTTACTTTTCTAACTGTACATAACAAACAACTTCGGAATTGGAGTTGGACTGGAACCAACAAATGCAGAATTTAATGAACCTGCGGTTTCCTGAAACCTACAAGTAAAATGCAGATGCACTTGAATTAGGTGTGTTTGGTTGGATGGAATTGAATGACAAAAGAATGGAATGGGATGGAATAAGCAAGGTAATGGAATGAGTTATTACATTCCAATACATGAAATAAGAATTTTATTCTACTACCTTCTAAATCAGCCAAAAAACCAAGACTTGACTTGTAGTTTTTCAAGAAATCAGTAGGTCTTCCAAGAGAAAAAGCCCCTGGCTTTCCCTGCTGAATTGCCCAAAGAACCTCCGTAATAAATGAATTCGCAAGAAAGCTAAATACATGCAAACCCGAATTTTCTGCAATAGCAAGGGACAATTACATACCATCAAAGTTCAAACACAACAATAATACCCAAATCATGCAGTAAAAATCTCCTTATATTGTTGATGGTATAGAAAACAGGAATAAAGAATGAGCATATACCTATAGAAGAAATCTCCAACAAAAATGTACAATCTTGAGCAATGAGATTCTTGTTTTGTTTGTAGTCTTCTTCAAGCTCATCACCAGTGGACCCACCAACCACTCCAGATGAAGTGTAAGGAATCACTTTCTGAACTAATGGTGCCACCACTGTTGATCTGAATATCTCTTCTGCATTTTGGGTATAGTCCACAGAAGCATAAGCACGTAAGCAATTGTATACTGTATTTTCATCTTTGTGTATCAATCCATCTACAAAACAGTGTCCTAAACTTGTGTCCAGCAATAAGCTGGCATTTTGTATCCTCTTTTCCATGATCACAATAAAAGGCAGGTTATGTACTCAATTTTTGTGTGTATAATAAGGATGTAGTGGAAAGACATTGGCATGAGCAAAGTAGAACTTTAGCCTATTCATTTCACTGGGGTTGAAGATCATAGGCGAAATTAAAAGTTCGAAGTTCACTGAAAACCGGATTGTAGCTCAAATCCAACACAACAAGGCTATCAAATACAACATAACTAAGCTGATTGTAAAAAGAATTTGAACATTTGAAAGTAGGAACCCTAAAATCAAAATTGAAGAGATGGAAATTAGGAATAGGTTGAAGTCGATTTTACCTGATGTGATGATGTGAGTGTGCGACAACGGGGGGGGGAGGGAGAGGGATGTTGTGTGTTGCGGTCGGAAGGAAGATGCGATTACGGAAGGAAGATGCGACAACACAATGAAGTTGTGATCGATAGATAATCCCTTGTGAACGTCTGCGCCATGTGTATGCAGGCAGTTAGCGCAATGAGCAATAAACTTCGTATCCTTCCAGGTACGTGTTAGCGCAATGAGCAATGAATTTCGTATACTTCCAGGTACGTGATCAGCAAAAGGGTTAGGATAGTTGGGTCAATTATGGTCGATCCAAGTTAAGGCAAAAGGGTTTTAAGTATTGAAGGGCAAATTAGTCAACTGACATTATGTTTTTAAATTAAAATGATTATAAAATATAAAAACCGATTAAAAACATTTTAAAGTTAAAAAATAAATTTGGACAAATATGATATTTTAAATGTTAAGAATGGTATATATGATATTTAGATTTAATGTCGGGTAAATATGATATTTTACAGCTTAATAAGGGCATACACGAAATTTTCCCAAAAAATAAAATAAAATAAAATAAATATAGATTATAAGGTGATATAATTTCATGTATTTATTTAAATCAATGATTATAATTTTATATAATTAAAAAAATATCTCTTAATTATAATTTATTTAAAATAATTGATTAATAATTTTTATTTTTTAATATGAAAGTTTACTTGATTTTATAACCATAGTTCTCACGGGTTATAAACTAGGTTATAAACTAGTATTGATATCTAAAATTATATTATTAAAATCTTCCGCAAAAATTTGTACCATACCTTTCAGCCGCTGCATGACTACAAAAATTTGTACCATACCTTTAACCTCCTCTAGAACTACATTGAAGTCACAAAAATATAATGAACTCTCCTTGATGATAAAGTTTCCACACCCCAATTTAAAAACATTGTAAAAATACCCCGTATGAAAAATGGATCATGCAAGATCAAAAATGGATTGGTCAAGGGTGAGAGTGATACAATGATTTTTGACAACTATATGACACTTTTGCAACTATGGTCAACCAAGTTACAGTAATTAATACGAAGTTTGATTTTTGGCTTAAGAGAGAATGTTATTGCCAAATATAGAGTTTAATCCACACACAAAATTTGGCCAAAACCTTTGCCCATACTTTACATAAATTTCTTGTTCATCGGTTTTCAACTGCCGCAACCTTTGCCCATACTTCGTATTTACTTGATTTCATGGAATAGCAGTATGAAGGTGTAAGCATCACTACACAGTACCCGTCTGTCTTGTTTCCTTCAAAGCATGATACATTAATGGAGTGGAAGATGGCACAACCATGCTTTATGATATGTCACACCATGTGTGTTTAATGATCTCCACGTATCTTCATTGAAATTTCTCGTTCTTTAGGTTTGATGATATTGCTACAATAAATTCGCTGTCATCCTTTTCCATACTTTGGATTTGAATTTACTGACACCTTGTCTAGTTTCGCTCAATCATAATTAATGATGCATTAGTTGGAAGGAAGTTTGCCCACACCATGTTTGATGATATCTCACAGTGAATGAAACAAGCAAAGGTAAATCACATTATAAATACAAAGATTGAATGTTGCTGATTTTCATCCAAATCCAATACTTTTGTTTACTCCTATGTCTCTACACTTGTTTTTTCTGAAGTAGCTAGCATTCAAACACAAGCTGGAACCTTTCTTCAAGATGAAGGCAATTCTTTTGTTCTATCATAGATCAAAAGAATAGCCTTCATCTTGAAGAAGTGTTCCACCTTCTGTTTGAATACCAGATACTTCAGAGAAAACAATTGTTGATAATATGAGCATGGGAGTATATACAAGTATTGAATTTGGATGTAAAATCAGCAACTTCTGTGTTTCTTCTCTCTTCCTTTGCCAAAATTGTGAGTGATTGGATCTCTATTTTTGATGAAATGAGATTGCATTTTATGTCCATCCCTCTTAACAATATGTTCTAATGTAAATGTTTTTATACAGTCTTGTATGCAGAATAATCAGTGATTTATATGGAAACGGATCACAGTTTCCAGACCTAAGCAACATGACAGACATGGAGAATTTCTTTGTGTGCATTTTGTCTACACTTGTTTTCTCTGAAGTATCTGGCATTCAAACACAAACTGGAACACTTCTTCAAAATGAACAAAAGATTGAGTTTGATGTAGTGGACATATCATGGTGAGTTCGGGTCTCAAGTGTTCAGAAAAAAATATTAAAGAGATTTGATATGTGATTTTAAAAAAACATCGGTCATATTTGTGTAAATTCTACTGTTTTATAGCCATTAGCAACGTTGTAAAAACTGTTAGAAACAGGTAAATAACAAAAAAAGAAAAAGAAAAATATTGCCAGTTTGGTGTTATTATAAGTTAAGAAGTATATTTTATACTGTGAATGTATTTTTTTTGCGTAAAAAACAAAAGGAAGAACTATTTCCACGAAATGATAAGTACCGATTTTGCCCTCCATCAATTGCATTTTCATTTCATAATAATCGCAATAACATCATCAGTATAACGAGATCCAAACCAAACCATTCGATTAATTCAAATCGCTACAGCATAATCAAGTTCAATAAAGGAGAGTGTGTTGAATAATAGAAGCAAAGTAACCAAAGCATCTGAATCGATTTCATTATTTTTAATTTCCTATTGATACGCTCTTCATGGTTTAACACTTCCGATTGGCATCACAGTGTATTTTTTTCTTCCTGTCTGTCTTCTATCTGTACATCACATTCCAATATATAAAATTTGAGTTTGTTTTGCATACAATTGACTATTTTAAATTGGCCCCTGATCTGTTTCTGATAGGGAGTTTTACAGCCTATTAGGTGTTTGATGAAATGCCACTATGAATTCCTTTTGGGGATTGAAGGATGATGTATAGTTCTACTCAATGTTTGATTGATTTAGTCCTTTTATGCTTGAAAAAATAATAAATTGTTTCGGAAAATGAACAACCAATGAATGCTTTTGTGTGTGCTTTTAGAAGTAGATGTGTTTCATATATAATAGAATGGAAAATTAGTATTAATACACATGTCTTGAAACATCTTGTTATGGAAATCTCTTTTGGTTGATGATACCAATTGGTTAGAAAAATTAACAACCGTTGCCCCCATCTTTTATGTATACGGAAATCTATATTGGTTGAAGATACAACTAAAAGGTTAATGATGTTTCTAACACTGATACTGTGGTTATGTATGTACTCAAGACTCAAGATGTAGATCAGACACACACATGCATGGGTAAGAAAGCTTAGCTTTAGTGATCCTCGTAACGCAAAGAGATTATACTATGCTCATAGGGCTCATGTTTGTGGAATGGCAGTTATAATTAAAGTGCTTCACAGTTCACAGTCTCAAGATATAATTAGAGAAGTAGGAATATGAAAACATTTCCATTTATCTTTGCTCCATACTCGACATGATAATTTTTCCTCATTCTACATCTTTTTAAGTTGTAAACATTATGATTTAAAGGATGTTTTGTTTTCTTATTAAGACACAATATATATATATATATATATATATATATATATATATATATATATATATATATATATATATATATATAGGGGGGACACAAGTGTGATAATTAGGGGGGCCGAAACTAAAATTTCAAAAATTCTAATATTACATATTTCTATATAGCTCGTCAAAGTGACACTTTTCGATAGTTTACATTTTTTTAACTTGCACAATTGTTCCTAAACTAAATGTCTGTTTAGTTGGAGGTAAAAAATTGATAAATGAATCCAACCAAGTAATGAAACAAATAATTCCGTTGTATGAGAGTTTATTATGCTAATGTATAATTTTATATTTCATGTTTCAAAGAAGTTCGTTTGAATAACAACACATTTCGGTTTTATTTCACTTTCAATAATTTTTTTTTATTTTGAATGAAAAAAATATTTGAACACTTTTATTTTTGATGATATGTTTTTGTTACTTTAATATAAAAATAACAATATACTTTAAATCTCATTTAAAAAAAATCAAAATATGAGTTTAAACTTAATAAATAAGAAAGATAGAAATATACTTGTAAAATATGACCTTTAAGACCAATTAAGAAGATAGATAGAGACGTACTAATAAGTTATAATTTAAATTAAGACAAAATAATTTATTAATCCATATATTTAATTGTACCTGATATCATAAATCTAAAAATAAAATGACAGTTAAGGTGTATATGAAAGGCAATGAAGATAGAATTGTCATTTTAGCACTGAAAAGTAGGAAAGGTTTAGTTTTATTTCAATACTAGTAGAGGTGAGGCATTAGTAATATTTGGAAAAAGCTGGGGGGCATGGCCCCCCCTAGCCATCACATACTTTCGCCACTATATATATATATATATATATATATATATATATATATATATATATATATATATATATATATATATATATATATATATATATATATATATATATGGAAAATATCAAATGAGAACACCTAAAAGGTTGAGAACGCGAGAACAACGTATATTCATTTGTATCCATGTATTCATTTGTGGAGAAATGATAAATTTTTACGCCTTTAATTTCAATTGAAGAGAAAAAGCAATACAATTTTATCCCAATTAAAAACTTATTATTTCTCCACAAATGAATACATAGAATCACAAATGAATATACTTTGTTCTCGCGTTCTCAACCTTTTTGGTTTTTAGTGTTCTCATTTGATCCTACTCATATATATATATATATATATATATATATATATAAGATAAATTGTTGAATTGTTTGTTTTAAAAAGGTTGATCTTTGTATAGCTTTTATATATATATATATATATATATATATATATATATATATATATATATATATATATCATGGTTGTAAAAAACGTTCGACGTTAGCTAGTCGGTGGACTAGGGTTAAGCGATTAATCGGCTAGGCGGAGATTAATCTGGGGATTAATCGGGAATCATTAATTGCTAATTTGCTGAATTTTAAAAAATTAAATATGACTAATATCATATCAAAGTTCATAAATACCACTAATATCATAACAAAATAAGTTAATATGATTAATACAACACTAATCATGCCTCAAATAGTTTCCATTGAGATAAACTTCTTCAAAATGTTACAATTTCATCGTTTTATACTATTTCGGTCATTATGTATGTAGGGACTAATCGCTAGGCGCCCTCTAATCGGCCGAGTAGCGCCTAGGGATTAATCGGAGATTAATCAGGACCTTGTCGAGATTTTTACAACAGTGATATATATATATATATATATATATATATATATATATATATATTAATGCGATGTAATTTTGTTTTCATTCGATATCAATTTAATATGACATAAAATATATACTATGATTGCTAACGTGTAAAAAAATATAAAATATATGTATTTTGTGTTAGGAGGGTATCTTTGTCATTACCAGTTAATTTTATTTCATTCATTGTTATTGCATACCTACCAAACAATCTAGATTAATAACTCATTACATTCTAATAGAGTAACCAAACATGATAATGGATCATTCTATTACCTTGTTCATTCCATTGCTTGATTGCAACATCCTGTTTTGAAAAGTTTCTTATTTCGGGATTGTGGACAATAAATGGATCAAGTAAAGGATTTGGACTTCAAGAGAATAGGGTTTAGACCCTATTGGATGTCGATAATTTTGGTTATGTGATCCAAGCCCTTGGTATGTGTTGGAGTGAAAGGGGCAAAACGGGAAAAGTGATGTTTCAGACTTTTTGCATGAAATATGGATTTTAGTTTAGGAAGTTTTTAGTCCAATATATCTTGATAATATTGTGGGGCTCTTCAATACCTTTTCGTGGATATAAAGTTCGTCGAAAACGGAGTTGGAACGAAGAAGTTATGACCGTTTGAAGTTAGGACGGTTTTGGGTTAAGCCGCGTACGTTGAACGTATTGGGAAGTACGATGGGCGTACTGGGGCACCCATGAGTATGCTGGGCGTACTAGGCGTACGCCGATCAGTGCCCAAACCCTATTTCCGTTGTTTGAGCTATATTTAAGCTCCTTAACTTCCCCAAACTCATTCCAGTCTCAGCCTCCACCTCTCCAACACCCTCCCTTGAAACCCTAACCCTAGTTTGAGCCTTGTGAGCAAAAAGAAGGTGTTATTGAATGCTTTGGGGTGTTCTTGGTGCATCTTGGAGAAGAAGGATCTCATTGGAGAAATGTTAGTTGCATTGGAGCTTGTAGATCCAGACTTTGTTAAGTCTCACATTGATCTTTCTTCTAGAGGTATAAAGTTTGAATCTTGATAATGTATTTGTTAGATCTATCTAGTTTTGGATGTTTTGAGATTTTGTTCACTTTAGTGCATAAAGTTTAGATCTTGAAAATTTGTGACCTTGTTATGGATAAAGTTGGAAACTTTATCCATCTAAACATTATTTTGATTCAAATCTAAAGGTTGGAAACTTGAACTTAATGGATTAAGTAAGAAGGATGCACTTTTGGTCCCTTTGAAACTTAAAAGACTAGATCTTAGTCGTTTGGACAATTCTAATGGATAAAGTTGGAAACTTTATCCTTATGGAGCTATTAGGAAGCATAAAAATGTAGTCTTGAGTGTTAGTTTCCTTCCATGCATGATCTAGGTTGTCTTAATGGGTTAAGTAGTTAGAGTTTTTGTGTTTGGGAACTTAATAGCCATACAAGGCCATAAAGTTGGAAACTTTATGGCTAAGGACGTTATTTTAAGACTAGATCTGGAATATGGGCAAAAGAGCTTAAGGATTAAGCTCTTAATAAGAAGAAAAAGACCCCATCACGTACGTTGGGCGTAACCCAGGTACGTTGGGCGTACGAGGTCAAACCAACCCGTTTTGGTCAAGCCTCGTGTACGGTATGCATACCAGCTGAGTATGATGGACGTACTCAGCTCTGTTGACCAAGTTTGACTTTTTGACTTTTTGAATTTGACCAAGTTTGACCTAAGGGTATTTTGGGTATTTTGAGTTGTATTTGAGATTGGTTACTATTTGATAAATAGGTGACGGGTAGAGCTGATACTCGGAGCAGCGACCTATTCAACTATTTGTTCGGACTGAAAGGTGAGTTTTCCTCACTATATACGTGGGTCGAAGATACCAATAACAGCCCACTAGATTATGTATCCTGGTTATAGGATAGTGATATGCTAGTATATGGTTGATTAGTAGATCTGTATGATTATCTGTATTTGTTGGATTTGTGTTTATGTTTATCTGTTACATATCTCGACATATTATGTTTGGGTTGAGGCAGTCCTGCTTTGTGTTGAAGGCTAAGACATCCGGGGCGGTCCGGATAGGC